TTGGTGACTTTGGGACTTGACGACATTGGGATTCAGACTCGACATTGGGATTGACACATTGGACGAGGGATTATTTGGGACCTGTATCGAAGACTTGGTGTTGACGACATTCCCATCTTCCCCTCTTCTTCGTCTAATCCCTCTCCTCTTCGACTGTGTATGTTTGGGACTGGCGCATTTCTTCCTGTGTGAGCGCCAGGTCCCTTCACACCATGCGATGATGATGATGTATGTTTGGTCTGCATTGTGAGATTGATTGGCCTGATCATTGGTATTTTAGCTTTCCGCTGCGCTATCCTGTACTATGTGAGAGAGGTCGGTTCTTGTTCTGGTCTGCACCGTTATGGTATGCAACAATGGAGTCCGGAGTAGAGAAGAAGAAGAAGAAGGAGAAGAAGAGTCCCCTCTCTCTCTCTCCCTCTGCTGATAGCAGATACTGACCACGCAAAGGTATTGCCTTGATGCTGGTACTGGAGCGCTGAAGACGAAGCTGGAGCTATGGCGCCCCTGGGTGAGTCATCAGGTAAGTCCCAGTGTCTGGCCTCCGCCTCTCTCCCGCTGCAGTCTCCACTGCAGCCTCCACGCTCACACCTCCGGCCTACCGCTACTGTGCCCAGCGCTGAAGACTAACGCAGCATAATGCTGAATAGTGGTGTCCTTGCTCTGCTGCTTCCTCCAGGACTGAAACTTCACCTACCTCCTCTTAATTCCCATCTTGGTCTATGAAGAAAAGGCGACCTTTCTTCTTTAAATCCAAGGGCAGTTTCTTCTTCAGTTCCCTGACTGACCTTCCGCGTGTTATGTGCATCCTTGGAAATGAATCCAGCATGGCATTCTGAAACGGTATTCACCAGTTCGAAGTAGCTGATGCAGATCCCAGGGTTCGATCCCTAGTTCCCCAACTTACCTGTGTACAATACCTGTCTCTTATACACATCTAGATGTGTATAAGAGACAGCAATTTCTTGCTAACAAACTTCCTATAGTAACTTGCCAAACCAAGGAAAGAACGCAACTCAGTGATAGACTTAGGTTGTGGCCAATCTCTAATTGCTGAAATCTTTTTTTCCTCTTGTCTTAGACCATCTTCGTTCACTATGTGTCCTAAATATAGAACTTCTGACTTAGCGAATTCAAATTTCTTCGGGTTTAATTTGAA